GAGAGAGAGAGAGAGAGAGAGAGAGAGAGAGAGAGAGAGATTCTAAGTAAACCCAGCCCATCTTTCATTCTTGAGGGTTGCTTTCCTTTTCTTTTTCTTTTTACATTTTTTCTTATCTTGGAAATCATTCCTAGTTGATCCTCATTGGCTTATCTCAAGTCTCATCTTTAAATCAACTCTTCCCTGAAGACTTAAAATTAGGAGGCCCTGTGAGTCTATGCAGTTGCTTTTAAACCAGATTCCAGTTTCTAATTTGTGACTAAATGAAACGGAGGTAACTCAAGATCCAGGAGCATCTGACTTTGGAATGATTCTGATTGACCAATGTGGGTGAGGCCCACATAAGATCCCTAAGCCCAGATCCCATCTTGCAGTTGGGGTCTAAGGGTGGGATGGGAGAGTTCTGTGGATGATCAGTACATTCCTGCTCAGTGTCATCTTCCCATGTTGAGTGAGATCCAGTCACATGGCCCTGTGTATACTCGGTATTGTAACCAGGAAAATTACAGTGTGTACTTAATTCATAGACCAACACAGGTCTTTTATTAACTTCCTATACTTCCCTACAAACAAACCTGCCTCCAGGAACTGAGTAAATATTAGTCCTTCATGCACAGCAGGCCAGTGGTTCTCAAAGTCTAGTAGGTGTCAGAATCCCCTGGTGGCTTGCTCAGACACAGGGTGCTTGAGTCTCCTGCTCAGGGTCTCTGACAAGGTAGGTCTGGGCTGAGGCCTGAGAATGTGCATTTCCATCAAGCTTCCAGGTGAGTCGCAGTGTGGGAAGCGCTGGCCTTGGTCCTCCTGGTCTTTGGACCAACCCATCAGCTTCATCTGGGAACTTGTCAGAAATGCTCATTCCCAGGCCTTGCTCCTAACCTGCTTGGCTGGAAATGGGGGGTGGGCCCAGAGATCTGTATTCGCACCCCCACCCCACCTGAGTGTAATGTCCATTGCCAAAGGAAAAGAAAGGATACCGAAATGCGTACTAGACTGCGGAAGATGGTCGTGGGAAACATCTGGCCACATGTCACTAGGTACAGGCTCATGTCCTCCAAGGAGCATGGCATGGGTGGGCTCTCAGAGTCCTCTATCATTTTGTCAACTCTCTTGGCATTTCTTAGAGCTAAATTCAGGACGACAGAAGATGAGTACTGTCTTCTGTCACCCATACCATTATTGTCCCTTGAGTTATGCTTCATTAGGAAGTAAAACATGATTTCCCAGAGTACAACTTTACATCTATTTTTTCAGAATATTTTTAGGCCTTTACATATAGACTTAAACAAAATCATCTTTACATACCATCTTGTAACATGTATATGTATATATACATATATATTTTTTGTAACATGTACATGTATATGTATATATATATATATATATTATTATACTAGTAGATGGACTTTCTTTATTTGGATTTCCTCAGTTTTTGCCTAATGTTCATTCTCTGTCCCAACATCCCGTCCAGGGTATCCTGTTGCATTGAGTCTTCTTAAGCCTCTCTGGAAAAACTTCTCAGACTTTCCTTTTCTGATGACCTTGACATTTTTTCAGGAGTACCAGTCAGGTATTTTGTAGAATGTCTCTCTCCTTTGGGATTTGTCCAGTTTCCCCCAGCTCTCTCACTGGGGTTCCATATGTTGGGAGGAAGACGGTAGAGGTACATTGTCACTTTGTTGGTATCACATCAAGGGTGTACTGTGAACTTGGCCGTGGCAGTTGATGTTGACCTTGATCACTGGTTGAGGTGGTGCTTGTGGATTTCTTTCATGTCAAGTCATCCTTCACCTCCTGAGGCCACACCGTCCTCTGTGAAAGGAAGCTACCATGTGGCCCACACCTGAAGGGTGAGGCGGGAGGCAGAGTACCTACCAAATTATTTGGAATCCTTTTCTCTGCTCCGTTGATCCATTTTCTCAATTATTTATTTCTATCAGAGTGGACTCATGGATATTCTATTTTTGGGTTATAATCTCATTGCTCTAACTGTTCCATCTTTGACCATCCACATTCCAGGTGGCCTCTGTGTCTCTTCCACACAGAGTCTCTGCGGTGGGTTCTGTCTAATTCCTGAGCGCATCCCTACTCTCTGCTTCTACACAGGGCTCCTGGCTCCTCTCCTGTATCCCCTGCCACTGTACAAGAGCAGCCGATTCTTCAAAGAGCCATGGTTTCTGTTGTTGGAGGACAGTTTTAGAAAGACCTGAGACTCTCCCTCCCTTCCTTCTCTCCTCCTTCTTCATATATTGACTCAGTGCCTGCCACACACACAGCACTGTGATAGGTGCTGACAAGAGTGGAATGAGGAATTCTCCCTTTATTTCATAAAAATGAGCCAGACATGAATAATGCCCTCTGTTCGTTTTAGACATCACTAATCGATGAAGGCTCTCTTTCCCAGGGAGTTTTGACATGACCTCAGCATCTTTTTCAGATCAGCATTCCAAGGGTTGCACCTAATCAATTGAGATTGGATTGTGGGATAAAATTTTTTTCACCAATTTAAAAGTAGTTTGTTCATCTTTCATTTTGGTGGTGCTAGGGATTGAATCCAGGCCTTGCACATGCTAGGCAAGTGCTCTACCAATGAGTTACACCTCCAACCCTACAGTAAGGTTATACATGAAACTCAAATAATTTTTCTCAATAGTAGCTTCCTTCACATCAGATAATTGTATCACTTTTATACATTAAAATGTCACTATGCTAGAGGTAGTTTGAGCAGCTGGTAGAAGGAGCCTGGGTTGGAGGTCAATTGTCTGCTCCTAATTTGGCCATTTAGCTATGCATTCTTAACATAATGGCCCTTATTTTGCATTTCCCAGATCATAATCGTTTTTTAACTTCTGAATTTTAAACATTATTTAAAATTGATGAATGAAAAAATTTTATATTCATGGTATAAAATGTGATACACACACATACACTTGTGGATGATTAAATGAAGCTAAATAATATAAAGGTATGTCTCAGGTCCATTGATATGTGCTTACTCAGAAAATATGGTCCTGATGTTAAGGCAAGTCCATTTTCTGAGTCTTAGTCTCGTCATTAGAAATGAGTAATGTTTAGATTCATTTACGCTCTCTCTGAAGAACCTTCTAGAACAAAAACCTATAGGATCTAGATGTGCTCTTTTACGTTGGGGAATCTAAAAGGAATGACCCGTCCTGACATGTACAGTTTTCAGCTGGCCATGTCCCTGGCAGGGAGCATGCTGGGAAGTCAGGGGAGGGTCACTGGGTGCCAGACTCACCTCTAGGCACTTTATACACATAAGCTTCCTAAATTCTCAGAATAGACCAGAGAGCTATTTTTACTATCCTCTCTTTTCAGATGAGTAAACCGAGGCTCAGATAAATGAAGAATGAGGCTGGAAGGGACAAGCTCTGTTCTGTCGCGTGGCTTCATGGCCATTGTCCATTGGCAACCGTTAAGTAGGAAAACTGAAGGGTGAGAAATGTTTTCTTGGAGCATGTAGCTGGGAGCTGTGCTCCACTGTGCCTGTGGTTTGGAAGAAGATGTTAACATCTGAACTTTTTAAAAGCCACGTGAGCATACCAGATAGTATGACGAGCAGGCTGGAAGAGTATACCGACCCTGGAGGAAGGGCTGGAAGAGAGGACCGGCCAGCTAATGGCAGAGAAGAGGAGGTGGAGGAGCTCCTGTCTACAATACTGCCCAGGCTCTCTGGAGCATTGAGGGTCTTGTCAAACTCAGGGAGCAGCAGCAGCACCAGGAGGACCCACTCAGAGGGATTATTTCATTTGTTATTTTCCGAACAGGATGCCATTTTCTTCTAAAAGAGATCAAACATTTTTGCGTGCATGTAATTGATACACCCAGTTAAAGAAAATAGGGGCAAAACTCTCTGGAATCCACAGGAATAACGAATAGAGTTCTTTTAGATGTACAGGATGGTGAGATTCACTGTGGTGTATTCACAAATGCACATAGGAAAGTTAGGTCAGATTCATTCCACTAATCTTTCCCTAACCCATCCCTCCTAGCTTTCCTTTTGTGTCCTCCACTTTTTGTCTATTCTTCTTCTTCTTTTATCTCCCCCTTTTTTTGGATTGGATTAGCTTTGGTGTATCAGAGGAAACATTCTACCTTTGACTTTTATATGGAAGATGCAGCAACAGGAGAGTGACCACTAGATGGCGCATGGGTTCCACAAGTCCATCGTTTGTACCTCCAAATCCTTTTGCAAGGGTGACCTCAGGTTCAAACATTGTTTCACCTTCTGTTTTCACCTATGCACTCTGGAAAGGTTTGGAAGAAGCACGTGCTGTTAAAATTCCTTTACATCTGTATATCTTGAACTACCAAGTGGGGCCTGGAATTTGAATGTGAATAACTTGAGATTGTATGATTTTTACTGGTGGACTGGTGAGTGATTACATTTGCGCCACATTTGCAGAGCAAGGTCCGCTCTATAACCTGTAGGGGAAAATGAGATGCCCTTGGCAAGAAAACTCTTTGTGTAAAGGCATCTATGTGACCCCCACTACCCAACGTCTCCCCTCAATTTATATCATCAATTAAAATAGATCTCTAGAGAAAATGCACGTGGAGAAATAAATGGATGTCAAAAGAAGTCTAGAGAGTAGATTTTGGTAGCCACAAATCTAGCCCACAGAAGCCAAAAGCCCTATGAGGATAACTTTGCAGTGATTTGTGGGAGGTGAGATGAAGAAGACCCTGTTCAAAAAAATTACAGCTCTTCAACGACTTGTACAGTTTGTTTGATCGCATCATTACAACCTACAATGTGTGCAAGGTGAGACGACCTGCTCCTGGCTGTGAAGCCACAGCTGCTCGTCCTGTGCACGATTGAGGGTGGGCATGCCTCATGCTAGCCAGGAGGGAGGCTCCGTTCCCACTGGCAGACCCTCTCGATTCACAGCCCAAGCTCAATATTTCATTCCCGATCGTCCTTTTGCAAAGGGTTTGATTAGTCTCAGTGCCATGTGTTTGTCAGGAATCCCCAGTTGTGCCCTGTGTACTTCCTTGGTTTGGTCTCATGGTGACCGTATTTCTAAAGAGGCATTGATCTTATGGGGGCTAATTCCGCCCCTCCCTCCCGAATTTCTTTCCTCGGGATTCAGAGGCTCAGAACTGTGCTCCTTTGGAGGCTGTCTTTTGACCAAAGTGTTACTTCTGCTGTTAGGATCCTTAGAAATTTATAGTGAAGATCACTCCCAAGTTGAGACTTTCAGATGGGAGCTAAAGGGGAAGTGGCAACAGTTACCTGCCTGGTGCTGCTCAGGGCGAAATCTGAATATGTCCTGAAGTGGGAAGCAGCTGAGGGGAGGACAGCAAATCCAGCCACCATCTGGCTCCTCCAGGTGGCGCTGCTGATGCTGCTTTCTGCATTTTCCGACTTTTTGAATGGGATCAATTGTGGCTCCAGGGACAGTACTGTGTGCTCGTGGTCACACATATTTGGTGGGCAGCTGCAAGGGCACCTATTCTGACTATGATCCCAGGACAGAGCCTTTGTCCACGGTCCTGGGGACAGCGTAGTCATATCCACACTGTGCTGAGATGATAGGTCCTCCATGGTTATCCCTGAACAGTCCCAACAAGAGAACCTCAACACAATCAGTGAATTAGTCCCCTGATGGCATTAATTGAGTGGTAACTGAAGACAGATGGGATGTGGCTGGAGGAGGTGGGTAGCTTTGGCATGGACAGGACAGCCTTCCAGGACACATCACACACTCTGCCAACAGAACCAGACCACCCTGAAGGCACCCACTGGAGTTTTCCTCTTAAAGTGATCTTCCCAATTTTGCTTTGCAGGGGCTAATTTAGCCACTTTATATTTCTGCAGGATGCTCTCTCATGGTGGGGAGAGGCTTCCTAGAAGCAGGTGGGACTTGTCCAAAGTTGATTTTTTTTTTTTTTGTATAATTTGGGGGCCAACAGGACAGAAGTGTTTTTGCTGCCGGGGCTAATGCGGCAAAGGAAATTCTACCTTTCCCACATCATCTTTGGATTCTGCTAAATACAATTGTATCTGGAAAGGGTTGAAACTTTAAGCTTCTGCTTCTTTATTACTCTATTACAAATGAAGGACTGATTTTATCAGGAGGATTGGGAGAGAAGAGAACAGATGGGGGGAGACACAAGATCTATATGTGTATAAATAAATACATTTTATATGGTGTGGCGCACACACACACCTGACTTAATCCATCAATACGCTGCTGCCTGTCCAGCTGGTTCTGGTCTTAGGTTGGGGAAATATGGTCACCAGTTCTGTCACATTTCAGAGGCAGATGCAGCAGCTATGAGGAGGGCTCAGTAGAAGAAGTATTTGTGGATAAAACAAGGCAAGGTGAGGAACTGGAAGAAATGCTGTTGCTTGGATGGGGCTGAAGTCAGCAAGAGTGAGGTTCCAAAGCATGGCGCCCCAAAATGGGGGCTGGTGACAAGGACTTGGCCTCTGACCCTATCCCCACCTGCGACCCACTGCCTCCCTTGTGAAAAACAAAGTCTCTTTGTTACTTGGTTTTCAGGTTGAAAACATTGGAGATGCATTCATGGTGGCTAGTGGACTTCCCAAGACACATGGATGGGATTGCCACCATGTCTCTTCCCTTCCTTAGTGCCATCCTCCACTGCCAGAGTGGGCACATGCCCGAGGAGAAGCTCAAGCCCTGGATTGGCCTCCACACAGGTAGTCATAACTGATGGCAGGTGGCCTTATGGTCCAGGTATGGCAGCAGGGAGTTCTGGCCTCAAGTCAGACGTCTAAGGCTTTTAGGAACACAGTTATTGAATGGTGTTATGGTTGGGTGTGAGGTGTCCCCCAAAAGTTCATGTGTGAGACAATGCAAGAAGGTTCAGAGAATAAATGATTGGGTTATGAGAACCTGAACACCATCAGTGAATTAATCCCCTGGTGGCATTAATTGAGTGGTAACTGAAGGCAGATGGGATGAGGCTGGAGGAGGTGGGTCATTGTGGGTGTAGCTTTGGGTGTATATTTTGTATCTGGAGAGTGGAGTCTCTCTCTGCTTCCTGATCATCATGTGAGCTTCTTCCCTCTGCTACTCTTCCACCATGATGTCCTGCTTTGCCTTAAACCTTGAGGAAGGGAATCTGCTGTCTATGGATGGAGACCTCTGAAACTGTAAGCCCTCAAATAAACTTTTCATCCTCTATAATTGTTCTGGTCAGATCGTTTAGTCTCAGCAGTGAAAAGACTGACTAAAACAAATGGTAACAACTTCAGGGGAAACAAAAGATTGACTTGTCTTTGTATGTCTGCTTCTGCTCAGCTAGGTTGCTTGGTAAGAATACGGGCCACAGTGACTCCAAGAAGTTGAGTCAAACATAAAGAGAACAAAAACCAGGACAGGAACCCCAGGCTAGCTTTTTCTCCTTGTGTCTGTATCAAGTGCCCTTTGATGTGTTCCATTTGGGTCAAACTCATGGGCATGTGATCCCTACTAGGTTTAATATTCTATGTCTGAAAATTCTTCATACTCTTTGAACAAAGGGTCCCATGTTTTTTATTTTGTGTTGGGACCCTAAAATTATCTAGCTAGCATCCTTGTCCTTATCTTTCAAGTCTCAACTAAATGAAACCCAATCTCCAATCAGAATTAATCACTCCTGTGTTTGTACGGTGCAGGTTTTATTGACATCTCTAGTACATGAACAGTGTGGTCAGAAATTTGTGGGTTCTGTGGTTTCCCCCTTGTAAACTCTAAGAGGTATTGCCAAGCTCTGTGCCGGAGGGCACTTAATGGATGTTTGTGATTGTTCTTGTTGACCTGATATACACTCAGGGGTCCAGCCCATTGGTAGTCTCCCCTGCAGATGATGTGGTGGCTGGCGTGGGGGGAATCACCATGACCAGACACCGTGAACACGGCATCCAGAATGGAAAGTAGCAGTTTGCATGGGTATCATGTATAGCACTCTGTGAACACAATATGGCTACCCCTCCCATCCCCTATCCTTAACCAGAGGGTATTTTTAGAAGACTCATTTGCATTTTGTCTCCTATTTTCCATCAGGAGGAGAAGGTCATTATCCACTTAAACAACACTGATCGTGAGCTGTATAAACAGAGTTTTGTTACTGTGCTCTCACTGGAGCTATATAGACTTACATGGCGCCCCTCCAAGTCTTACCATTTTAGATGGACATATAATAAAGTCATTTAAATGAAGTGTAGGAGTTGGAAAACTTTTGATGAACAGGGCCAGACAGTAAATGTTTTTTACTTTACAGGCTCAAAATATTTAATTCTGCTATTGGATCTCAAAAGTAGTAGTACAAATATGTGAGCAAATAAGCATAGCCAAGTTTCATTAAAATTTCATTTGCAAACACAAATGGTGGGCCAGATATGGTCTATGGGTGAGATTTTGCCAATACCTGATGTATGTTCTTAGTGGTGCAGAAGAAATTAATGATGGGGAATTCCAGGGAACAAAGGATTCTTTTGCTAGATAGTAATTGTATTGCATTGACTGTTAATAGACACATGCATGCCACTTACCAGTTGAGATATATAAAAAAAGAATTACTTAGTGATTTTAGTGTCAAAGAGTTTAGGTTAACATTGTTTTGAATTTATAGATTTTCCACAATATAAAAACACACATATTTACACACATGCATGTACATGTGCAAATATTTTCCCCTGATTGTCTAAGTTAATAAATCAAGTCTCAAATGCAGATTTAAACCTTTCTCTTTGATGGTAAAGAAAGGTTTTCAGAAAAAGTTTGGAAGGTGTCTGTTTATTTAGTCTCTAAACCTGGTTCTAGCAGCATTTTTGGAAATATGTTCCAGCTCATCCTAGAGAGTCTGAGGAGCCCATTGAACCTCTAACCATGGCTCTTGCCAATTTGAATACTGAGCTAGGTCTTCCTTTGGCTTCTAAGATGAATGTGCTAAAGTTTGAGCAGCATCCAATAGTGTCCCATCAATGCCTGGCTGGTTAGGGCTCCCAGGCCAAGTGTCTCATACTTTAGACAGTATTTGTGGTTGACTTTATGGCAGCTCTATGGATCCATGTTGCTCAGAGCACTGAAGATGCCTTGCTGGCAATAGGCGGTACAATCTGCAAAAGAGAAGCACCATTCCAGTCAAGGTAAGGCCAGGCCAACTGCGTCTCACCTTCCCAATTTGAATTCCTGATGGAGCTGTTGAAGTGTGTGGCAGAACGAATAAGTGTCTTCCTGGTGGTGCAGGAGAACTCTTAGATCTCTCTGGAGGCTCTTAGAACTGTAGGATCTTCTTCCTTCAGTAAGGTCTATGCAGTTCCCTCAAATAGTTGAATACAGAATGTCTGACAGCAGTCAGCTTTGCTCTCGTGTAGACCAAGGCTTATAGGACGCTTACACTCTCCCTGCACAAATGGGCTCTCAGCTTCCCCTAAACAGTCCAGTGCAATCTTCCACACACAGCAACAGCCAACATAAGCCTGGAAATCACAAGGTCCACACTTCCTCTGTGTCCCTCTACCTGACTCTGAAGTGCCTGGGCAGAGGGGACAGAAGTCAATTGGTTTGACCTCATCTCTCTACGTGTATAAAGGCTCTTTCTTTTTCCTCTGCCTTCTCCCTCTTCCTGGCCTCTCTCGATCATGAAGTGCACCACGACACATTCTCCTCCTTCCTTCAGGATGGCCCTTTTCTGGGCTGGGGGTGGGGAGGGAGCAGGTGTTCCTCCTCAGGAGTTCTCAGGACAGCTGGGAGATGCACACGTGGAAGTAGAGGGCAGCCATGGTGACGCTGGGCGTTTGGCGGTGTGGAGGGCCAGAACAAGCAGCAGGGAGGGGCGGTCTTGGCTCCTGGTTTGCTGGTTCCCAGGCAGCCCCTCCTTGTCCTTCTCCAGCTGCTTCTCTGCCTCCCACAGGGCAAAAGAGAACAAACGACTTTTTCGTTGAAAGGCCAAGAAGGCTTCGCCAGTCTGCTCCCCGGGTTTACTGAGCAAGAGGCTCAAGTTCCAGAGATCTTGTGAGGTGAGTGTTTCTTTCAAGATGTTTGTGGAGTCACAGGAAAGTCCCTGGGGACCCTCTGCAGGTTGCCCCCAATATCCCATTGTAGAGGTGCAGTTCCCGGGTATTGAGTCAGTGTCCCAGTAGGGGGCGCTATCCAGCTAGCCTCCTGAACCAGAGGATGAAGGTGGGTATTGTGAACTCATTTCATGGGAACTGCCAGTGAACTTGTTCTAGATGCCAGAGATTTCCAGTCCATTAATTTGTGAATTTGCAGTAAATCCATTTCATTTTGGGAGAGGGTAGGGAGAGGGTGAAGCCTGGGGCCACAGCCCCATCTCCTTCCCTCTTAGACTGCTCCTAAACTTTAGTGCATAACTTTATCAGCTAATCATTTGCCTGGAGACAGGAGCTCAAACCAGAAGACCCTCAGACTGTCCAGGGCAGAAGCTCTGCAGTGTGAGCAGCCCCAGAAACCCAGCAGGGATGAAGCTATAACAAGAAGACAGGCCCATTGTAGTGCAGGGAGACCTGGTCCTGATCCTCACTTCCTCTAAGCCCCATGCTCACACAGATAATGTCCTGTCCTCAGTTTGTTGCTTAATGTTTTTCCTATCCACTGAGCAAAACCTCTTGCAGACAAGCCTTGAATTTTAAGTGGAGAAAAAATTTTAATTGAGAAAAAATTTTCAGCAGAGATGAATCCATCCATTCCTGCAATGTCTATTTTCCTTTCCACATAAAGGACAGTCAGGGTTCTGGTTGTCTTATTTGGTAGATTTACTGACCCACTAATGCAATCCCAGTGCTTTTTTCTTCAACTCTTGCAGCTCCTCACATCCACACCTGAATGGTGGCCCCTGAATGTGGCAGAGCAATCTGAATGAATTACTGTGTTTAAGTCCTTTCTAGCTGAGCTCCCTGTGACTGAAGAAGTGAGAACCATTGAGACCAGTTACATTTTTGTTCTGGCTAGACCTCTGGGCTGCCTTTGTGGAGATATTTTGGACTTACTGAGGACCTTTTGACAAAAGATTTGGTGGGATTCTTGTCTTTCTTTAGGAAGTGGGACACAAAATCAGATCCAAGGAAAGCACTTTCCCAAATAAGCCTTTTTTTTTTTTTTTTTAAAGCTCCTAAACATTCCCATCTGTGGTATTTAGCTTCTTCCCAGAGGCAGGCAACTGAGTTCTACGACCCTCATGGATTTCATTTCCATAATGCAATTCTGTCTTAATTGTAATCGGCTCTGCTCCTCCCCCGAGGCCCTCTGCATCAAGGAGTGACAGCGTTAGAAGGAGGAAGGAAGAGAGTGTTTATGTGAGGGAGCTCTTCACCTTCTACGGCAGCATGGAGGCAGTGGGCTAGAATGGATCTTCTCATATTCCATGTCTCTTTTCTTGATAGGATCATGGCGTCTGGACACCAAACACTCATTCAAACATAAAAGTCAACCTCTGCTATGAGGCCTCCTCTTGGAGAGGGGGCCAGTCCTTATCCACCCATCTGTCTGTCCATTCATCTGTCTATCCATCCATCCTTCTTTCCATATGAACATTTCATTCCCTCAAGAAACATTTATTAAGTACCTACTCTATTCTGGCTACCATGCTGAGGTGGGCACAGGAGAATATGAAAATTTCCTTGATCCTTTGCTTGTGGTTTAGTTGGGACAAAGAGACATAAATAATAGTAGTAGAATTTTAGGGATCAATAGAGCTATGAACTAAAGTGAAGGGATCAAGCAATTCAGTAGTTTTACATAAAAGGGCATTTGAAAATGATATTCAGATATAGGGATGGGGTTGGATAGGGTAAGTTTCCATTATTATCCTCTTTGTATTTGTTTGAAGGATGTGTGTGTTTATTTCCTTCTAGCCCTAACCTATGTGCTTATAGAAGTTATATTCATATATAATAAAAATGTTGTTAGTTTTGCCTCTTCTTTGAATGTTATAACATAAACATTTGGTAGCCAAACATATACATACACACAAAACATGCATACACACATTTACATACAGACACCCCTAGACACACATACGTGCACACATATACATGCACATACACACACAGTGTGTGTGGGGGAGAGAGAGAATGTTTATGGATCATAACTAGGAGTTCTGATAAGCTTAGTTACCTAAAAGCTATCTACAGTGTTTTTTATATGTCAATCAATGACACCTAAGAATATACTTTTCTCCCTCTTGATGTGTTTGATGTTTAGCACTAATGAGAATTTATGAGAGATTGTTTTGAGAGTATCTTCTGCTAATCCCTCAACCGAAAGTTATGAGACAGCATCAGGGAGTTAACTTTAGTCAAAACACATCCAGTTGATTGGCAAGAGAGATTAGTGCTTCATGGACAGGGATGACCAGAGAGTCATCTTCACCCAAATGTTAGTTATGTGAAATGGTTTCACCTCCTTGCACAGAAAACCCAGTAGTAAAGCGTTTCAAGTGTAAATGTGGGAGAGAGCAATTGAAAGTCTGTGGTATATACATGAGTCTAAGGAGCTCTTGGCTGTAGAAACCCCTGGAAAGGTTGAGGAATTGGCTTTCAACATGATATATCAACACTGCAAACTGTAGTGATAGGTTATTTATCTTAAGGCATTTCATTTATTCCATAGCACCAGGTAGAGATACATGATCATAAAACATAATGATAAAATAAAACCAAACTAAAGCATTGTTTTACTCTGACATCAAAGAATATGAATCTGGCTATGAGTATGCTATTTAAGTTATTGTTATATGCTATTTACTAGAACCCATAAAAATATGTCTTCTGTCCTTCTTGACTACAAAATACTCTGAATTTACAGAAGGAAAAGATCCCAGGCTGTCTGGCACATCAGCTTTGAGACCAAGTTTGAACTTGAGTCATTTTACTCTAGCCTATTGCTAACCAAACATGTACTTCAACTCTTGAGAGATCTGATGAGTAGTTTAATTTCTGAGTTCACCCAAATTGTACAAGAACCATCAAACTGAAAATCTCAAAAGTTCTCAAATACATTAAAAACGGAGAGACAAACAGGTGTGTGTTTCAAATTGTAAGCCTGCTAATTAAATGTTTGTGATTAAGAACTAAGAGCTCAGGCTTATCCTATTAGTTCTCTACCGGGGTTGGTACATTCAGTTTTTATTTTGGTGACCAAAGTAAATCATGGATACTGGCATACTCTGGATCACTGAGGTGGCTACATTATGAGATTTCCACGTGATTTCATTGGCCATATTTGCATTTGCATTTCTGATTTTTTTGTGAGTTCTATTCTGATGATCCTAAGTTGATGAGACAAAAACAAAAGTATATGGATTTGAACATCTTAAGTAAAGACTAAGTGAAATCAGTCCATTCTGTACACATGAAGATTTCTTAGAGCCAGTGAAGAAAGATATTGAGGACATGGATGTCACAAGGTATATGGGAAATCAGGTTGTCACCAAGTACAGAAAACCTGTGTGTGTGTGTGGGGGGGGGTTGTCCTATGCCTTTTGGAGTTTTTTTCTATCAAATTTCTAATTTTCTTTTGATGTTAAAGTATATATCAGCTACAAAAACAAGGAGTTTATACCTGTCTAGTGTTTATATATATTTAATAAAACCTATAGTAAAAACTAGTTAGGTTAGTACTAAGAACGTTTAAGGATCCATTTCCTTCCTATTACTTATAAGCAAAACTCTGGTATTCCACTCTGATTCCTACATGGTTATTTGAAAGATTGCAACTCCCTGCCTGTGGGCTCAGCTCTGGTCCTTGGGTAGAACTGCCCAGTCTCAATGACAGAGCCCCTCCCGGGGAAGTTGGCTACTCCTGTGCGTTCTCTATTTAGCATTGACTTTGTGGTTAGGCACTACGTGGTCTTCAAAATGCTCGGCTGCACTTGGTGGGTGTGCCAGTCTCTCACAATTAAAATAGCTTTCAAAGGAGGAGGGCCCTGCACCCTTGACTGGAGTCTGAGAAGACTCCTCCCCAGCTGCAGGGGAGGGACTGGCGGGATCTAAGGGCCACTGAAGGAACCAGAGGAAGTGGGGCACCAAAGAAGATGGATCACGGAATTCACAAAAATCATTGGAACACATATTTGGCAAAGCGCTGGTCTCTGCTCCCCGACAATGTGGTCTTCTGTTTGCTCTTTTTGGCAGCACAAAAAACGAGTTTGTCATCGCTGAGGACGACCTGAGGGCGGAGCTGCAGCTCCAGGCTGACTCCTACAACAGGGCGCAGATCCCCAGCATCACGACTAGGTGGCGCATAACATCTGTGAACCAGAGCAGGCGGGAGGGCTCTGAGACAGAGGCCTGAGGGCAGGAGCAGCTCAACCGGCTCTAACCCGAGGACGGCCCAGCTCAGGGGTCTTAAGTAGGTTTGCATAAAACTCCGACCTTTTATACAAAGTCATTTCTGTTCCTCTCTTGGGGATTCCACAGCTCACTGTTATCGGTACAAAGAACCTGGCGGATGAACCTAGGTTGAGGATCTGAACTTCCATCCTACGTGATGGAGCATTTCCTTGTAGGACCTTTGCCACAGAACTTTCTCTAAATATGAGAATCTAGGATTGGAGTCTAAAAAGTTGATTTACACGATTTTCCTGTGACCCTAAGAGTGAAGTCTACATCTGCAAGTTGATTACTAAATGATCTCCTTGCAATTACCTCCTTCTCATCATCCCAGGGGGATCTTGGCTCATAGCTGAAAGGGTTCTTCCTCGTAGGGCTTCCCTGCCTGCTCTTTGGATCACGTGCCCCCAACCCCAATGTACTCCACACATATTAGGAAGGGCGAGGGTCTTATCTGTCATGTTCACTGAGTTGTCGGATGCCCTTAGCTGGCATTAAATAATCCATACAACATCAGGTACGATAGGGACAGTGATTAGCCCAATTCCACAGAGGAAAAGGTATGGAGGGGTCAGGTCATTGCCAAGGTCATTCAAGTAATGAGGGGCAGAGATGTCACAGGGACTCAAATATTTGTCGAAAGAACAGATCATTAAAAACTGTGTTCTCCAAATGAAGGAATCCAAGCAAAGTCACCTGGTGATGACTTTGTTGAGACTTGGGGAAATGGGTTCCAGTCCTGCCTATACCCAGCTCATTCATCCCTTCCTATCTCAGCGGCTGGTGGGAAAAAGACCCCTTAACCTCTGCCGGCTTCTGCCCCATGTAATTTTCAACTCTAAACGTTTTTGCTGGGGCCAAAGTTAAACTTCTTCTGAAACATCCATCTTCTTTACAAAAGTGGGCATTGCCGGTGGCATCCCGGAAATGCCTCTTTTCCTTACCTGAGAAGCTACCGAGCCTCCATGATCCCCTGCCTGGAGTGAGTGAAGAGAGAGAACGCAGGTTTAAGAAAAGACCATGGGCAGACATCTCAGAACTGTTCCTGAATCATAAACCCGACTGTATCCCTGCCCCCTTTAAACCCTGAGCCCCCCCTTGCCTTTAGAGCAAGGTCTATGCTGAAGCTCACAAAGGCTTTGTCTCACACCATTTTCTCCCAGGCTTTCTGAGGCAGGGGCTGGTGAATTTTTCAGGAAGGACCAGAGAGTAAATATTTTCAGCTTTGTGGGCCAGTCTCTATGACCACTAATCCACATGGTCAAAGCATGAATGCAACAGCCCACAGTACCACTTCAGTGAACAAGTGTCTCCCTAGTCTAATAAAACCTTGTTTATAAATACTGAAATTTGAATGTCAACTAATGTTTATAGGTCATGAATTGTTGTTCTTCTTTTGATCATTTTTGGAACCATATGAAAATGTTAAATTCTTTTTTTTTGGTTTGCAGACCACACATAATCAGGAGGAAGCCTCGGCTTGGCTAGACTCTCAAGTATGGCTGCTATGGTGCCCAGTCTCCCAAAGCATCTTGCTCACCCCAGGTCACACTACGCTCAGTTCATCATTAGATTTTCAACAGAGGTCTTTCACGACCCCTGGACTGAGCTAAATCCCTTGCTGGATACTTCCTGGCACCCCTGCCCCTCCACAGGGTCTTGCTCCTTGCTAGATGGAAAGTTCCTGGTTGGATCTGTTTATTTCTAAAACTCCAGTGCTAGAAGCTCAATACAGGCCCATTGACTGGCACTTGACATGCCTAGAACATTCTCTTTCCTATTATTATTGTTCTCTGCATGTTCTAGTCAGAAGCTCAGCATTTTCTGATTCCTTGGGGCCATTTTGGATTTGAGCCATCGACAGAACTTTTCAAGGTACTCAGCAAACCTCAGCTTCTTGGATTCCATCCCTCCCCCCACTGGAAGACTGGAGGAGCAGGTGAGAGCTGTGTCTACAGGCACACCTGGTTTGGCAATTCAGTCAAAATGCTCAAACCAGCTGTGCCTGTGGGCACAGCCCAGAGTGTGCCCAGCCAGTAGGAAACACGCTTACTCCGCAGGGAGAGCTCCACCACCAGCACGCCCCCAGTCTGGTCCCGGAGCAGGCGCTTCCGTTTGTCGCAGGTCTGATGACCCCAGGGGAAGGATGAGAACAAAGGAAGGGAAGGAAGAGGGAATTAGAAAAAGAAAGAAAAAAAGAAAGCCACAAACTGGATGGAGTAAAAATTCTCCAGTCAACTCATACCAGTTGGCTTATATTTATTTATTTGTTTTAAATAATTCTGAGAACCCAGGAGGAAAGCATCAGTAAATTAAGAATTCAAGTTGGAAGGAATCCTGCTTGGTCCTTTCTACCACACGTGGGAGGAATGGACCACATCTTTTGATAAAAAGTGAGTCTTTTACTTAGAGTTATTCTAATCACAGTGACTGAGGACACTTGCAAAACATGTTCTTTTTTAATGTGGTGTCAATACTCAGCCTCTGATCAATTGTAAAATGTTTCTGTCAGCCTTTCCCCAGTCGCACACCCTCTGGCTCCTTTCCCTTTCACTATCTGTGCTCATGGATGACCATCTTCTATCCAAATGAGTCAATGCAACTAGAGATCATAGCCTGTCTTTCTTTCTTTCTTTCTTTCTTTCTTTCTTTCTTTCTTTCTTTCTTTCTTTCTTTCTTTCTTTCTTTCTTTCACAGGGTGTGAAGGGGGGATTATCGGGGATTGAACTCAGGGGCACTAAACCACTGAGCCACATTCCCAGCCTTTTGTGTTTTATTTAGAGACCGAGAGTCTCATTGAGTTGCTTGGCGCTTAGCTTTTGCTAAGGCTGGCTTTGAACTTGTGATCCTCCTGCCTCAGTCTCCCAAGCTGCTGGGATTATAGATGTGCAAATCATAGCCTTATTTTTTCAGTTCCCTAGACATTAAAGACAGGCAGCCTCTTTGGAAACTCTGAGACCTCTAGTCCACGTAGACCAGAGAGGCCAACAGTTTAGGATTCAGCACTTTAAGTCTATAAGATGGTCTTCTGAAGCAAGGTGAGCATCAGGCTCACCTGATGGCCTGAATGCACAGATGGCCGGTCCTTCCTCTCAAGGTCCCATCAGCCCTCCCCCAGAATTTCTGCAGCATGTGTCTGAAGACTGCCCCACTGAGACTAATCACCCCTGCCTTTTGAATTTCCCTTGTACTTCAGCTTTTCCAAAGCATTTCATGTCTGTCAGTGCCTTACATGGTCTCTAAAAGGGGACAGGCCATCACTATTTAGATGAGAAAACTAGGCCCAGGGGCTTAAGTGACACTCACCAGTCTGGGTAGGTTGTTGGAGGCAGGTGGACGGGCCTGGAGCTTCCACCCTACTCTGGGCCCATTTACCCAGAGAGCCCTCTGCACATATCCTACTTGGCAATGGCCCTCAGCAGCCAGTTATGACTTCCCAGTTCAAACCCAGCTCCCCCAGGACCCCACCCCCATGTAACATTCTCCTTCCCAAGAGGGTGGCTTACCACTGGGCAGGAGAGCTTCTCGCTGTCACAGATGAATGTCTCACAGTGTAACCAAACCTTGGAGAGTTTGGGGATGTTCTGGAACCGGAAGGCATTGAACTGGAAGGTGGCCCTGTGATCCTTCCCATTCTCGTGCACGAGGACCGTTTCATCGGTGGGGCAGCTGATGCACATGGGGGAAAGAAGACCAAATGTCACCTCAGGGAGCTCCAGCAGGGGCTCTGGACAAAGTTACACACAGTGTGTGCAGCGCTTTGTCCTTCCAAAGCACTGTGATAGGCAGCACCTCACTTGATCTTCACAGTTAATGAGGTCAAGCTGAGGGCCTTTAAGATGGGTGGGATTGTCCCCATTCCATAGGCTAGGTACAGTAGAGGGGAGTGGCTTATGAGAAGCCATTCACCTGGTGGGTCACACCCTTGTCCTAAAGAAATGAAATGCCCAAGAGATAAAGTCCTCCTGGGGACTGGGATGTGGCAGACCCCCCCCCAGAGTAAAACACCCCAAGATAATAACCAGGGCACTGGGAGCAACAGTTCTCTGTGTCACCACAGACATCTAAACTCAAGGCTTATGTCTCTGTGTCTTTGATGAGATTTTGTCATTGGAAATTTGAATTTATGTTCCACTTTTTAACTTATATTATAAAGTCACCTTTGTAAATATGTGGTCATTTTTAAAAATATAAGCACAGGGAAAAAAAAATGACTAGAAGGGTAGCATCTAATTGTGTCGTTATTGGAGTAGAGGCAGGACCTAAAGGACGTCACCTCCGAGGGGTGAATGTTGTACCTTCGTATCTAGACCAAGGGTCAGAGCTGGTTCTGTTGGTGGTGGCTTCTGAGTAGCAACAGAGCTGTGGGCATTTTCCAAGTTATGAAATGAGATTCTTGCAGGATCATTTGCTCAATAAACCTGAGATCCTTGTATGAACTCAAGATGTGAGACCTTAAAATAGCTCTTTACAGCTCAAGTGTAAGCCAGTGGAAAAGAGAGTAAGTAGAGCTTTGTGGAAGGGGAACCGAGAGGGCGGACAGTGAGCAAGTCTAGATGCCTTGGCACTGCTGCCTCTTGGCTGCAGCCCTGGCACTTGCCCCTCAGTGACAGATACCTCTTGTTGGTGGAAGTCCACTGGGAGCTTTCACACCATCACTCCACGCATCTCTGTCCCCACATCAGGTCTCTGTGGGAGATGGGTGTGCTGTTGCACTTGTGCTCATGTGCCCAGGAGAGTCCCTGATAATGGATCTGCTCTAATCCCTCCGAGAGCTCTTGAAAACTAGGGTTTCCTCCAAAAGATACCAATGTGAACTAAAAGTATCTTCCCAAGCTATCCCAAGCCAGAGCAAAGCAGGCTGGGATATTCTTGGCCCCACCATCAGCCCTGACCCTAGACAATGGAACCTACCCCTTGTTGATCAGTTGCCACTGCAAGGGATACATGAAGTCAGCAGAGGGTGTGGCCCAGCAACTGTTCAGGACCACTTTAAACCTGAAAAGAAAGCAAAATGGTATCACTTGGAGCTACAGTCTTAGGCTTAGAAATATTTGGTGTTTGGAAAGTCTCTGGGCTAGCTTTTCCTCCTTTATACTTAAGAATATAAGCCTAAAGAAATGTACTTACCTAATACTTAATCCTTTGGCTTCTACTCCTGCAAACAGATCTGAACCAATCTCAGATGTCTCCAGGACAAAGGGTGCTTCTTTCTTGGTAGAGAACTTGGCATTCTTGGGAAGGAAATTGACATCAGGCATTATGACCTCTCAGACTGAGAAGCTGGGTCTGGCAGGAGCAGATGAATTGGAATGGGATGGGGATGGGAATCAACCCCAAAGAACAAGCACAGGAGACCACATAGCATAGCACAGAAGCTGCCCCAGCTACGATGCTGGGGCCATCTTAGTAGGAGTGAGGACATCCCATATTCTAGATTTGCTGGTCATGGAGAGGCACACGCTGTACATCTCATCTATGCCAACAAAACTTAACTGATGGAAACAAATTGAATCCAGAGATATTAAGGTGCTGTGTTTGATGAATCACCCAAAGACCAGAGAGACCAAACACATACAGCCCCTCTCTACCCTTGCTTACCTTCTTGCCTGGGCAGATTTCAGCCTGAGTTAGAAAGTTTATGATCTGATTCCCAGTGCAATTAACAACAACAAGAAGATGCATAACTATCTACTATGTGTCAGGGATTGATCTACAGATTTGGATGGTTTCTATGTCAGGATATTTTGTATGGTGAGAAATATTGGTAAACAAAGTCAAGATCTGTCTGATATTCTAGCAGAGAGAGAGACAGTAAGTCAATTGTATAGTATGTTAGAAGAGAACATAGTATGTTATGTAAAAAAAAAAAACTATAAAAATGGTAGATTAGGGTAAGGTAGATTGAGAACATATGGAAGGGCAGGTTGCAATTTTAAACACTGTGGGGAGTCCTCACTGAAGAGGAGATATTGGAGCAAGACTGCAGGGAAGGGGGCCATACAGCCATCTAGGGAAGAATGCTTCCATTAGGGAAAAAGGCCCTGGGGCAAAGGTGTGGCTGCAAAGAGGCCAGCGAGGCAGATGCCCTGAGCAGGTCCGGGTGAAGGTAGAGGGCGGAGAGAGGCTCAGGGGGGAAAAAGATTAGAGAGGCTACAGAGGAGGATGGAGGAGACTGGGGCCTCAGCTCTGAGTGCAGACAGGAACCACCACTATGACCTGAGCTCAGAGGCAGCAGGTTCTGATCAGCAGCCCAGTTGTGTGGTCTATACCCGGCATCATCTTAGGCAGCTCTGGGAGTTATTAGGAATAACAGCAGTATTTCCAGTTGACTTACCCAAAGGAGGGTGACCTCTCCATTCTCTGAGTCTTGGACTCATTTAACTCTACTAACAACCTGGCACAACACTCTGGATTTAGTTGCCAGAGACGAAATCACTGGATGGAAGAACAAGAATCCTGGGGTAACTTTAGCTTCCATCCACTAACTTGGGCCATCATGGAACAGAAACACAAAGTACATACCAGGGTACTATTTAAAAGATTGAGTTTCATGGGCTTGGAGCTTTGTAGAACTGCAATCCGTAGGCAGTAGTAGGCAGCACTCACATTCAGCAAGGATATCTAGTCAAAATGAAATTTTACCCCCTTGGGGTCAAACACACAGGGACTTTTATGTTAAGACTCAGAATCTTTCGTCTTTGAAGACCTCTTATGTTGTTTTGCTCATTGCAGATCCAGCCGAGGCCTCCTAGAATCTGTCACCTAGAAGTCAATGGTTTCTCTTCCATTTGTCAGGTCCCTGCACCATTTCAGTGGTTGCAAAACTTAAATTAGAATGTTGTTAGTCATAAATGATTCATCTGCTTAACATGGCAGATTTACAGTGGCTTTTTATGACCTGTGTTACTGCCTGAGGTTGACCATATTTTAAGAACACATTTGCAAAGGTGGTAACTGACCCAGGAACCACAATATAGTTGCTAATCTAGTCCTTTCTTTCTTTATAACATGAAAATTACGGACCTGTTCCAGATATCTTCACCCTACAATATAGGACTTTGTTTTGGCATCCCTAAAAACATAGAAATGCTGCATGAACTGCTCATTCATCCACAAGAATGGAAGAACACCTTGAAAAACCGCGCCATACAGTCTCTTCCCCTGACCCTAGGGCCGAATCACAACCAGCTAACTGTACAAGATTAGGTGCGCCTGATATAACAGCAGTTCACATGGGAAAATCTAGGCATTTCTTCCACTCACAAGCTCAATATGAAATACAAAAAAAGTACAAGAAAAGTGTTCCAAAGTTAGATCCTAAGACATATTCATCGAGTCCTCCAGAAATTAGAAGGTCATCTCTGACTCACCTGGCCCCACATTAGTCTGACAAGGTCCACTTTTTTCTTTTCTTTTTGGTACCAGGGATTGAACCCAAGGGCACTTAACCCCTGAGCTACATCCCCAGCCCATTTTTTATTTTTTTAATTTTGAGACAGAATCTGTCTAAATTGCTAAGGCCTCACTAATTTGCTGAGGCTGGCTTTGAATTTGTGATTCTACACTCTCTGCCTCCCGAGCCTCTGGGATTACAGATGTTTGCC